GTTTAGGCAAGGACTACTTGAAAAGACTTTGTCTATTGCCCAATTTTAACAAACGCCATAAATTAATGGGTAAGATTAAGAATTCGCTTAACTTTTATGATTGCTATAAATGTATAAATGGATAGCAATATTAGGTCAAAATCTTAGAAAAATCTCAAATAACGCAAACAAAATAAGTTATAAGAGAAATTTAAATTTTGCGTCGTTTAAATCATCCTTAAATCTAAAAATTATTAGAAGTTTATGAGGACAGCAATACTGTCTATATTTTATTTGACAAATTCTTAGGCCATTCATTAAAAACCAAATTGCCAGAGTATTGGAAGTAACATAAATAATTTATTTTAGTTTATCTGAAAAAAAATAGGCAGAAGTCTGTTTCAAGTTATTAAATGCTTTGGCACATATCCATTCAAAAAATATCATCCACAAAGACATCAGGCCAGAGAACATAATATAACTCAACTCTTAATTAAACAATCTTGTAATTGCTAATTTTGCAAGTGCAGATTCCAAAGAAAAGGGAAAAAAAAGAAAGGTTTTCAATCCCGGCTATATGGCTCCAGAACTATTCTAAAATAGAAACTTTGACGATAAAATTGATATATTCTCTTTAGGTGTTATATTCTATGGGATCTTCTATTGCAAGTACCCATTTGAAGGTAAAGATTTCAGAGAAACCGCATCTTTAAATGAAAAATGTGAAATCAATTTTGAATATCCTAAGAAGTTATCCTCCTCAGCCATTGAATTATTATAGGGAATGTTAAAGAAGGATCCTACCTAAAGATTTAATGCCCAAACTGCCTTAAAACATCATTGGTTTATTAATGCAAGAAGCAAAGAATAAATGAAGGGAAATATGCTTGGAGCACCATCACTTTCAACAATTCAAGAAAAATCAGAAATCGATATCTCAATGTAAGAGCGTTAATTTAGCAAATAACAATCTAAATTAAGAGCTAAATCTGTGGATACATTATTCATTACAGAAGCAAATGAGATAGAATAAATTCCACTTCATCAAAAAATACAAAAAATGACCATTGTTTAATTTAATCCATCCAAATCTAACCATTGATTTACATATTAGTATTTAATTGTTTAAATATAATTTATTTAATATCCTTATTAACATTTAGGTTTGACCTAACAGAGCATAAATTATTATTATTGAAAAATAAAAAACACATATAAGTAAATATTTTAATTATCATAAGAGATTAGCTTAATTCAAGAAGATTAGGTTTTTAATGCTTAACTTTTATTAAAATTTTCATATGTATATTAGTATTTATTTAATACTTAAACTAGCTATTTATTTCATTTAATTTTTTTAAACTAGAGATTAAATTAGTTTGGTTCTAATATATTATAATAAAAATTAAGTTGACTACTTTTTTTATTCACAGTTAAATTCTTATTCTCTTCATGATTTTACAAATAGTATCCATTTCTCTAAAAATAAAAAATCTTAAATTATTTCACTATAAATTGAATCTCAAAATTCTTTACCCCACTTTATTGAATCAATATACAATTGGTGAAAAATGTTATTTCCATTAAATCAGAATGAATTAAATTGGATGCTTAATTCATATTAAATAATAATATTAATGAATTAAAATTATTCAATACTTCTGGAATTAACTAAAAAATAAGAACTAACTTTAGCTATCGAAATCGCTGCTATTTGTGTACCATCTGTATTTTTATTAATTTTTACTCTTTATTGTTACTTCAAGTTTGAGCACTTAAATAATGCATAGTTTAAGTTAGTAACGAGAATATTATTTTCAGATCTAATATATGAATCTATAATGAGTGTGATCAGTTTGAGTTACATAATTACAGCAAATGGGAGTGATGAACAAACATCCTTTAGAGATTCATATCCAACCTTTTGTTATATAGAAGCTTATTTATCAAATTTTTCAATTTTAACTAGCACAGCTTGGACATCAATAATATGCCACACATTATACATGCAAGTGTACAGGAACATTTCTAAGATGTATTACTATCAGTACATATTTGTTGGTTATGTGATTCCAACAATAATCAGTTTTATGTAAATTTATGTTTAATATTGTATATAGACCATTTTATGTTGATGGATATGGAGTGACATATCCGATGGAATCAACAAATTGCTTTTATAACATGAGGTTGGAGAGGAGATCTTATGATTTGTACATAACTTTGTGTTATTATTTGCCGATTTGGGTAGCATTTCTATATAACTTAATAATAATAACATTAGTTGTAAGAAGAATATTAAAGCATATAACAGATTTTACAAACAAAACATAAGTTTTTGCATTGTTTCTTTATCCAACAATATTATTCATTTGCTGGGTGATTGTAATCTTACTTTAGTTATCCTGTAGCCTGGCTTAGTTCAACAATTTAATCCATAATCTATTTTATGGTAATACTTATCGTAGTTTTTCTGCAACATACTTGGTCTGCTGGATGCTCTGTGTTATTGCTTTACTGAGATATTTACGAAGATAAGGATCAATGGCTGCAAATTAGAATATTAGGAAGATTTATCTGAAAGTAACTTTGGGACCCAAACTAGCCAACAATTAACCTAAGTAGTTGATTCATAAAAATTGTGAATACTATTTAATAAATAATAATAAATTATTAAGCGTCATTTCATTTTTTAGTGCGTTTGCAATTTAATATTATAAAAAGAGGAACAAAAATATAAGTAATATCATCGAACTTGCTAGCATCATCTTAAGACTTGGTAAAGTGTTCATTTAACCCAGACGACATGGGATAACTATTATATAAAGAGAATTATCATAAGTAAATACTGGTTAATAAGATAGGTGGATAAAAGTATAAGAGTTGATTGCTAAAGATCCAATATTGTAAAATAATGTAGCAGATTATGGATAAAGCAGAGATAAATTATTTGAAATCTATTGCAAGAAGGCCTATAAACTACACAAATTACTTAACTATAGCGATGAGATGATTCCAGGTATGGTGAAACAGTCAATTTCCCAGAAACTGTGGTGACTGTGTTACATTAAACCATGTTTATACCCACAATCAAATATTTGGGAACTGAAAAGTAAATAGAGAAATGGGTTCCTCCTTCCTAAAATTATGAGATTGTGGGATGCTATGCTCAAACTGAATTGGGTCATGGCTCAGATGTCTAAAGTTTGGAAACTACTGCTGTTTATGATAAAAATACAGAAGAATTCATTCTCAACTCACCAACTATTTCATCTACCAAATGGTGGATTGGAGACTTGGGATTGACAGCTACACATGCTGTGACTCATGCTTAATTGTTCATTAATGGAAAACATTATGGAGTCTAAACATTTATTGTCTAAGTCAGAGACACACATACTCATCTACCACTCAAAAGGAATTGAAGTTGGAGATGTAGGACCAAAATATGGTTATAACACTAAAGATAATGGTTATCTCAGAATGAACAATGTTAGAATTCCTAGAGAATAAATGCTAATGAGGTATTCCAAAGTAAGCAAAGCTGGTGAATTCATTAAGGCACAAAATGAAAAGATTGGATATGCCACCATGATGTAAGTAAGAACCTCAATCATTCATAATACCTATGTCTCTTTAGCATAAGGATTAGCTATTGGAGTTAAGTATTCTCATTTTAGAAGATAATTTAAAGATAAAAATGGTATTGAAAGACCTATTATTGATTATTAAACTCAATAAGATAAATTAATTCCATTGATAGCAGATTGTTATGCCTAAGGCTTTGGATGTTTAAGAATTAGAGAAATTTTAACAGAAAATCTAAAAAGAATCACTGAAAAGAACGATTTTTCATTAATGGGAGACTTACATGCACTATTATGTTGTTGTAAGGCTGTTTATACTTGGAATACTCATTTTGGCTTAGATAAAATTAGACAATCTTTAGGTGGACATGGATTTTTATAATCTTCAGGTGTTGTTAGTATTCAAACAGAATTTGCTCCAAGTTGCACTTATGAAGGAGAAAATACTGTTCTATTACTATAAACAGGCAGATACTTATTAAAAGCTTGTAATAAAGCATAAAAACACTAACCAATAAATGAAAATGTTGAATATCTCTATAATATTTAATAAACTTTATCATAAAAAGCTACTTTCACAAAGAGCTGAATAATTGTTATGTCCTGAAATCATCAGAAAATTTAATGAGATTACATGCAGCCTTTTATGTCAATTAAAATGATGCTTAAAATGATGGAAAAAGGTATCATTATGAATTTATGAATAATTAGCTGGTGAACATGGACCCAAAGAAGCATGGAACAAACATGTAGGTGTATCAATAACTGAAGCTTCCATTGCTCATACTTATTATTGGACATTTAAAACATTCTTAGATACATTAATAAAGTAAAAGTATTAATTAATTTTAGAGTTTAGGATGAGAACATTAGATCAGTCCTATCCAATTTATGTTGCTTGTATGGTTTACAAAGAATTATTGATTGGCCAATAGGATATTTCGAAGGAGGATTTTTGAATGGGGAGTAATTAGAAATCATCTTAAATGCAAAAGAACATATCTTCACTCTTTTAAAACCAGATTTACTTGGACTTGTTGAAGTAAGATTAATAATTTATCGATAGTCATTTAAATACAATGACAATGCTTTAAGATCAGATTTAGTAGATGCCAAGCCCTTATGAA